CTTCGCAGTGGCACCTCAGGCACTCGGCCAGGCAACCCTCTCACTGGATGGATGGAGTCATACGAGCCTACAGTGAGCAGTACTAGCAGCCTGACATCCAATGAGAGCAGGGATATCGCGTCGACAACGATGCTAAAAATGAAAAGTAATATTAATAAAGCAATGGCAAAAAATACATTTAAGGAACCCATAAAACTTGCTGAAGACTATCTTTGTTCTGACCAGTCAATGAAAAGAACAGGAAATGACATTATCATCTATAACTGCACTGGCCGGATGATGCAACAGCCTGCATCAGCAGGTATGTTCTGCCACCATTGTGGAGCCAGATATCCTGTAAAATCAGTCAATTTCTGTCCCAGTTGTGGCGTTCCCCCGATCCGGGCCTTCGGGTGAGCCTGGGGCTCAGACCCATTTTCTTTGCTCGCCGGGTATCTTGCAGCTGCCTATTTGAATTATTTTTGTGCCTCTCCAGAGGATCAGTTGCCTGATATATAGTCTAACCAAAAGGGTGAGAGAAGAGAGATCATCTCACGAAATGATTGGCTGAATAATTTACTTGCTTAGCATTGCCGATAAAGCAAAAAGGCATGACAACTCTTGAGAAGATGCTTCGATAGATATATTTCTATCTATGTCTGTACTCAAACGGTCAATTGATAACATTTGTGACGCATACAGAGAAAGCTTTATTTTCATTCAGTTCATTTACACACATTATGTATGTCCGAGCGAAAAAGAGCTCTTACTTGCAAAACAGCAACAGCTATTCTTTGACTTATCGGATTGAGTTTTCATCATAAATAAAGGAGCAGCATATTGTAGCCACAATTTTAAATAGCATCTCCCTTTGGATCAACTGCAATCACACTGAGTTCAGCTAACTAAAGAAAAGGGTCTGTAGTGTCTTAAGCTAAGTCCCAAATTGCTCTTATCTCATTTACAGGCCCAAATTATTTTGTTGAATGATTCTCATTCTAAATGAGCAAGGGCTGTTAACACTCGATCACATTTTTTTGGCAATCTTGGCAAATGGTTGAGGTGATGTTTAACAGAAGAATAAACCCAGCACTATTCATAGTCTAGCTGATAACACATAATAGCATATCTGCGTATTATCTCTTGGAGCAGACCAATACGGAATAAATATGGGTACACAGGCTATAGAATTGGCTTATTCAGGATTAGAGTGCTCTTTTGTTCGTATTTATGGTACTAAAAAAATAATTTGAGATGTATTCACCCAATTTCGTTTAAGGTTGTAAAGGACTGGTAGAAGAATTTTCCCACAATGATATGAATAGAGCTGACGTTTCCATTGAATTTCACATAGC